AAATGCTACTGCTCTGAAGAATACGTGGCATCGTGGGGGTCACGTCAGGGTTGCTGCCTCACATCAGTTCAGTCTCGCCGGCGCTCTGCCCCCATTGCTGTCGTACCCACGGCCGCCGGCCCCATCAAACGATCCAACACTCACAGATCGTCAAGAGTTATCAGCTTCCCCCTCCTCCTCCACTCGATTTAGAACAGGATACTCGACTCGACTCCATCCGCGACAAGCTGAAAAATCTGACCGATTCACATGCCCTAAACAATATCTATACACTCGGTGAAGTCAAGTTATTTTGCAAGTAAGTGAGCTTATCTATCTTGAGTTTGAATTTTTAGGCTAACCCCTCTTTTTGCACACTAGTCTAGGTGCCCTCACTGGCTAGTTAGACGTCAATCCATCCGATCGACTTCGACTAACGGAGGATGATGTAACAGAAAGAGAAAGAGGAGGAGGAGATCCAAGGACAGATTTGATGGGAGAGACTAGTAATAATAATAATCGATTGTTAAGTCGCCCTCAACAGACTCGGCATAATTCTCCAGGTTGGAGAGACCGATAAGGAGGAGCACAACGGCGTCAATCTATATGCGACTTGTATGGAACTCTCGCACTTGAAACTTAAACCCTTCATTGCTAATTGCTTGAATGGCATCACGGTCAAGGGCTTCGAACTCAAGCATTACTTGCTTCAGCCTGACTAACTCGGTACTCTCTGCTGATCAGTCAGGTGAGTCATCATTTACATTTTATGTATATCTTCCCCCGTCATCAACTTTTTCTTTTTTTCACCCATCCGAACTGACCTGTCGCCCGAATCCCCTCTTGCTCAATCCAGTCGCTATCCTCCTGGGCCACAGATTCTCCAATCCGGGATCCTCAGTGATATTCAAGCTGGATCAGGGGTTAGCCAGCATCCTAACTCGCTCTCTGCCTATCTGACCGCTTTCATCCAACGCTCATGCCCGAATCTAGTCCTTTGGCCGGTGACACTAGCGCCCTGATACAGAGTCACCTGAAGACCCGCTCCTAGGTCAAAGTTGTTTTGCTGCTGAAGGGATTATGTCTTCAAACCATCCAATTAGTCACTCAGAGCTGTCTCAACATCTTAATAGAGTTCGTTCAAAATATATATAAAAGCCACTGAAGGGGTCAATGGGGTCCCTTCAATTTATCATTTGTTGCCATAATATATCAGGTGTAACCAGGGGGTCAATGGGGTCCCTTGGACACTTTGTTCATCTGAACTTCCACCATTTACTTGAGTAGAGAGATCAGCGAATGCCCACCAAATTCCCAAGCAGCAGGCTAACGAACTACTCACTTGAAGGATGCCACTGGTCACCATTGATGCCCAAATCTTAAACTGACTCCCTGCCTTAACAATGAGTTGCAAATGAGAATTGCTTTGCAAAAGAGTATGTGATATTAGGGTAATTGAGGTAGGAAAATGCTAAAATGCATGTCATATTAAGGGAATTAAGCGATGATGAGGGAACATGACAGATTTGAGATAATCAAATGAAACTGAGTTGAATTGATGAGGGAAAATTAGCAATCAATAGGTTTTTCTCTTCACATCTGGATTCTATGTAGAGTGTGATGGCCTAACATGATCAATGAGTAACCAGGAAGAGAGCAGGTCTTATGGAAAGGAAGCTGAATTCAAATGAAAGAAAAAATTCACAATTGAATTAAGGATGAATCGGTGAAGCTACTATCATTAAGGGTTGTGTGACAGCCTCGGAGGAAAACCCTGGGTTTAGTAACTGGGGATGTTGTTCTGGATAGGACAGTATGGAAGCCGAGTGGTTTTGTTATGTGACTAGTTGCTTGTGTTTTGGAGGCTTGGGAAGGATGAACGGGTTGGAAATAAAGTACTGGGGTCTTGGAGGGCACCATTATCATCAGAATCCACAAGTAAGTGGCTGATGCCACTGGGCCGGGATGATCTGGGGTGTTGAGCGGCTGGATTTGAAATGCGTGATTGGGATGGATGATTGGAGCCTGCTAATTGAGAGTGGCTTTGGTTAACTTCCCATGTACTTGAACCAACCGGTGGGAGGCCTATGGCTTGGCAAACTTCATTACAGATGTGATCTTTAATGAATGCCTGGATGCCATCTGCCGAATTATTTCCTAATGTCCAGAGGCTAAAAGATTGGGCTAAGTATCAATGATGTTTTGTGGGAAGGCATGATTTGGACTCACTTTTCATTCATATCAAGAATTTGGGGATCCGTTATGAGGGGACCAACTCCCTGCAAGTCTCCAACTAGATTTTTTCCTTCAGAGGTGTTGTACGTCCAGTGCGTAAAGGTATTCATGAGCTGAAGGATTTTGGGATCCATTCCAGGTTGGTTTGGGCTGATGTTGAAATCGGTGTTGCTCGAGTACTTGACATAGGGTCCGGTGAGTCGTTTTTCAAAGAAGTATACATCTGTTGGAAAGAATAGATCCCCAGTAAAAACCACGGAATGACGAATGATCTGGGATGAGGGAGTATGTGACATTTTTGTTAGCCCATGATTAATCAAGACCCATGATCAATCGAGATAGAAAGCTCAATATGTGCACACCTGCATTTGCTTGGCTTTAGCTTTGGTGCTCATGGGCAAGATTCGGCAATCATGAACCACTGAGCGGTACTCTGCAAGAAGAAGTGCACATGCCTCATACATGCGGGCATCAGTGGCATGGCGAGTGAGGTCTTGATGTTCGGGGTCTTTCATGACTTTTGCGACGTAGTCCGAAATGACTTCGACTTCGTCTTCATCAATTGATTTGACTTGAGCCGCGTAGGTGATTCGCATGCCACCTGTCCCAATGACCTCTTGCTTGTTGACTTGGATGATGATTGGATCAGTTCTGGTCTTGGGTTTTTCAATCCCCTCGAAAACGAGTCTCTGTGCAACAATCCAGCCATCGGAATTCATATTCAAGTAAGCTGGCAATGGCTTACTTAAACAAGCCATTTTACTGGCCAGGCTCTTGTTTCCACTGGAGATCACGGTTCCTGGTTTGAGACATGTGTATGTGTGCATTAGTTTGAGTTTCAACAGATGATAAATTTGTTTACTTACCAGCTAAGGGGCCAAGTGCCCATGCTGCTTTCCGCTTTCCAGGCTTGCTTGGGTTGGGGGTGGTGTGGTTACGGCTGGAACTGCTGGCTCCTTTGGATCCTCGGGTTGGATATCTCTTGGTGGAAGTGGAAGTGGGGTCGGAATTCGAATCATCGCTAGTAAATGGGTGGTCGTACGTGAGATTGATGTGGGCAACTTTCCTGCCTTTTGCTTCGTTGAGAACCCCAAGAAGGGTCTCTTGGTCACTCGTAATCGAGATTCTCCATCACTGAGGCCAAGGTAA